TGTTGTCTGCGCGCTTTGCTTTGTGTGAAATTGTGTTTGGCGGTCGCTCGTAAAAACTCGAGGACGAGCTTACATAAAGCTCTTGCAGAATGCAGCGTATGTTTCATATAAAAAGAGAACATGTTTTTAAGCGGCGATTCGCGAGCGTTTATTCATGTGCATCTTGGAATGCCGAAGATCATAACTCGAATATTCTGGTCGAATTATTTCGCATTCGTACGTAGGAGAGGTTTGCCGAAATTGGACCACTTAAATACATTTTGATTAAAAATAATTGGGATTATTTGGATTAAATGTTACTATTTACATCTTCAAAAGGATATATTTGAGATTTGATTATAAACAAAGTGAAAACGTGTCAATCGGTCCAAAAGATAACTGGATCTATTGCAAATATTTTCAAATCTCGGCAGATCTCATAGGCTTAGATAATTTTACGACACACCTCAGAAGCCCTCCATATACTTTCGCTTCATACTGAGGCCATTTCGGTAACATAGGTTGGAACTTTAATTAATTAATTGAAGTTTTTTTTAAATAATTTAAAGTGCTTTTATGTTTATACCCCCACTTACTACTTTTTACTTTACTTACAACTTTTTTACTCTTTGGACAGACGCTAGTGTGAAATTTCATATACTTTATTTTCTGCTTGCTTAACTTTATGTGGAAAATAAATATCATGTAATGCTATTTTTTACTTTTGTTTTAATAACTGATAAAACAAACAAAAAAATCTTGCTGTGGTATGGAAATATAGAAACTACTGATATTGAAATATAGAAGTGACGTGTTTGGTCTAAAATTAGGAAAGTTTAATAAATAATTGAAAATATTTTACTTAACGATAATTTTGAAGCATATTATACTTTCCAAATGTCTAATAATTAATGATAGTTATTGCATTAACTAACTTTGTAACTTGTTAACTAATATTGAAAATTTCCTGTAAAGATAAATTTACAATAATGGTCTAATTTTGACCTGCATTTGGATCACAATTTAGCAACGGTTCTATATTATGAATGTTATAAATTCCGTATCTACGAAAGGTTAAATTGATCACTATGTGATTGTTAATTCATAAGGTAATGTTATTAAAGACTTAATGTATTCTATTTGATTTGTTATCTTATACGGCTGATCTATAAATTACTAATATAGAGTTGACTATAAATATATCTTAACGTTTGATAATCCGTTGTCAATATTATATAGATCCTATTTTTTTTACAGTATCTACTGCAGTTTTCTTATTGAATTTACGGTTTTTACTGTGATATTTAGATCAACAAATATGATGCATTTACAAAAATTATTACGTTAAGCAAGTCTTCGTTTTCGAGGTACAATTCTATGAAGAGGACATGTTTCTTTGTAAACACAATAAAAACCTTTTTTTTATCGAAGATGAGTTTTATTAAATAAACAGTCAACATATATATTGTTTGAGTTTTCTGTCTTTCATTTAGTCGTAATTATGGCTAAATCTGCATAATTTTCTTTTTCAAAGCAGCTTTTTAAATCTTTGTATTTCGGTAGGTACTTCTTCGTCTTCACTTTATTTGTTTTCGTTGCTAACAATATGTTTTCAATCAGTTAACCAAAGTATGATGGGAGTTTATTGTTTGATTGGTGAGATTTCTGTTATACTCCATAATATTTTATGGAATTTGTGTTTTCAACAAATAATTTTAAATTATTTAGAACATTTTTTCATTTCACTTACAGTTTCATGAATTTTGAGAAAATATTTGAGACATTTTTAAAATAAACATTTTTTTTAATAAAATGCTTTAAATGGTTTTATAAAGTTTTCTGTAAAAAATCAAGAAACAAACCTACTTCAAACTGTAGTGCCATTGGATATCTCTTTCAATTATTGAAATGTATTATAACTCATCGTCATTGAATGGTGGGTAGCTCCTGTTTTGAATTTATTTTTTCATTTATTAGCATTATGAATTTATTTAAGGCCTGAAAAGGAAATCATTTTTCATCCGCGATTAAACGGGAGATACGGGCAGACTTTTTGCATAACGAATGCCCATCCCCATCTATAGTCTGTGAAATGTATAAATGACTGTTCCGCTTTGTAAAGCGACACGAAGAAAAAGTCGTTCCACTTTGCCGCCGGCAGAAAGTTTAAAAGTTTTGTTTACCCTGCGCATCCACCGAAACACCGTTTCGTTTAAACTGAATAATAATAAAAATCTTACAACGAAAGACGAACAAGAATAAAAGAATTGGGGGATAAAGTTTTGTTGTTAGAATATATTTTATTATCAATCAAATGAAGTTTTACTTGATTATGTTATATATTGCATATTTATATCAAAATTTCAAAATAAACTAAATTATAATTTGGCAAAATAAAAGTTAATTTTATTAAATTAGTATACAAAATTGATATAAATGATCAGGTTTTTCCTCTATACCAATTGTTGGCAAATGCGGCTCCGAGATAAAGGGTCTCGGACATATAAAATAAATAATTTTAAAATTGTGTATCTAAGTGTGGCTCTTTATAAAATGAACAAATTTTAGTTTCATAATTAAGAAATATTCATAGTGTATTTGTAAATTTATTATTAAAGAATATTCTAAAAATGCAACCTACAATACAGATAAACTTCGCAAATCAATTACATTTTTTTAGTTCTTTGCGTAATTCGTTATTCATCGAGCTAGTCAATATACACTTTTAAAAATTAAAGACACATTGTGTCACAATTGCGTCATTTCTATATGAAACGAAACATATGCTTGAAATCATACAGTGTTTATTTATATAATGGAGATATCAAGCAAACACATATTTTTAAATTTTACCGCCTATTTTAGCATCTGCTACCAACATTATCGTAATAAAATCATATTTGTAAATCAGAATTTGTTATTTGTATTTAATTTATTAATGATAAATTATTACTGGCCTTAGGCGTCGACAAGACGCAGCTAAGTATAGAGTGGCTCTTCCGGCAGAGAAGAAGAAATTTACGAAGAAAAGTAACATAAAAAATTGGATAGTCGTAGACAATGGTCAAAGGTAATCACAATTTAAAGATCACATATGTTGATAATCTCAAAAGTAGTATTACTAGATATTTTTTTATTGCTGACAAATGTATTGAATTAAATGGATTTAAATGGATATTCGTTTCATGGAAAGTAGCTTTAGTTTCTTAAATATGCTTCTTTATAGTTTGCCCTAGTTTCCCAGAATAACTTATATATAATATTGAACTTTTCGGAAGAAATCAATTTTTACTACGTAGTTCCATTTCATGCTTCATAGCCAATATTTTCCTCATATAAGTGTTACTATTTAACTTGATATCAGGTTTATAAAATATAACTTTTTTTTATAACTTCTAAATAAATGTGTGTATCATATTTAGTTATACATTTCTATATATTTTTTTCATCAGTTATTTGAAATTGATACTGTTTTTATATTTATTTTTATTTGTTTAGATAAAGTTTTATAATGACTATAATCGCTTTTAATACTACAAATATTTTTTATTGTAAAATTACCACTGTTAGTAGAATTGTATAGAAATAAAGAAAATAATTATTCCCATCTATTATTGTTAATGAGGCTATTTCTTTTAAATAGAAACTTAATTGATAAGTGTGATTATTAATTTGAAGAAATTTAGTAGAATACTCATTTTCTAATTTTAAGTTCATTAAAAATAATTATTGCAAATAAAATGTAATTATTACACAGCTTATATTATGTGAATGATATTATGCATAAAATGAATGTATTCAATTAAAGTGTAAACTGATGAATTAGAAAATACGTGAAAACTGTGAACCAGTAATCGCGAGACTAGCCCATGCATACTTAATGCAATTCAAGCTTCCAAGTGCTTTGCTGGCTAATTAATTTGTGCAATTCCAGCGTTTGCTCAAATGTTTAAATCCTATAAGTACGTCATGCTATATCCTCCAGGAATAAAAAAACACCATCTGAATAATTTCACAGTGAAAAATTTTTTTCTTCTAATTAACATTTAAGATTAATTTATATTTCAGTCATGTTTCTAATGTAATCGCCGCATTTTTTGTTATACAACAATAAAACACGATTTGAGAGAATTCATCAAAATCAAAATACATTCCACTATGATTGCGTACAAAGGGTTCAACAATACAAAAGACATTAGAAAGATGAGATTAGCGCGGAGGGCAGAACGCTTTCCGTAATTAATTAGTGCCCTTTGGAACAGATCGTGAAATTAATTGCGGAGAATGCTTTGACACATAGTTTTCATCTCAAATTTTCAGTGGGGGTGGATGAAATTTTCATTCGCCGATTAATTTCCCTGCTGCCATCCCATCCCATCCCTTATTTTATACGTGCACGTAACGTATAACTGGGTAGGAATTTTGTTTATCCTACGCAGTAAAAAAGGAGAACGTATAAAGAAGGTGGAGGGTCTAATAAAAAAAAAGAGGTCGAAAAGGCGCTCGAGTAGTCAAGGGGTGGAAGAGAAAACATTAAATACCTCTGAAATGAAAACTATTTAAATTCAGGTACAGTGAGAAGCGAGCGAAGATAGTAAACATATTTCACAAACATAATTATTTAAAATCCTTTTATTATTCTCATTACGAAAGTTGAAATCTTCTATATTTTAAAGGAACACCGTCTTATACATTGGTGATTTTTTTAAATGCATTTCTTATTTTCAGAAATTTTATGTTAATTATTTCCAAGAAACAAATTATTCCATTTGAATATGTGTTATTGAATACTTTTTCTATACTACGGGAAAAAAAATCAAGTTAGAATAGATCTAATATTTTCCTAAATTCTGAAGTCTTGAAAAAAAAAACTAAATCACTAAAGTGAATATTGTCAATTTGTAAAACGAAAAACTCTTAATTATTTATGAAAGGAAAGAAGATCTAACTAAATCAAATATAACTATTTTACATTTGTAATTTTTTTATTATTATAATTAATCATTTTTTCTCTATTTCAGATGTGTGGTGGTTAGAGGAAGGAGGAGTATAATCACTTTTTCAACTTTTGGCTGGTATGGCTAGTTGGGATTTAATGAATTGAAGATGTACAGTGCGGTGGCTGCGTTGCAACCCTTAATAAATCAGTCGGTAGTGAACCCTTTGAAATGCACTTACGTCGAGGATGCGAAGAGCGTCTGCTCTCAAAACGGTACAAGTGTTGTGGTGGCTTGCACAGGTTACGGGGACAGGTTGTACGAGTACAGCTGTAAACTGCACGCGACTGCATCGGCATCCGCTTCCGGGTTCTTCGCGTGCACAGGATGTGACTCTCCAGGTCGCTTCCAGATTGAGCTACTCAATATCAATAATTTGAGCGAGTTCCTGTTTATGAGTCCGATGGTCGGGAATTTCAGGTGTTCGACGAGAAACCAAAGTGACGTTGACTTTTGGACGTGCACTTTAGATGATTCGTTTACGAATGAGACGGCAGGAAACTTTCTCTGGGAGTCCGACTGGAGTTTCCTCTTTGTCTTCGTATTTATTATGGCCGGAGGCGTCGGAAATATCCTCGTCTGCTTGGCCGTCCTTTTCGACAGGCGGTTGCGTAACTATACGAACTATTTCCTGTTGTCTCTGGCTATGGCCGATCTCCTAGTCAGCCTCTTCGTCATGCCGCTAGGAGCTATTCCGGGTTTCTTAGGTAAGTCGTATTTCCCAATCTTATACATCTGTTAGGAGTAATCCTATCAAGGAACTTTTATAATATCTTTTATTGATTCTGTAACAACTTCTGCGGTGGATACCCAACGTAATTCATACTTTCATGGACTCCAGGAATTTTTATTCCGCTTGGGAATTTACATATTTCAGAACAATACAACCTCAAACCAAATATCAAATGAATATTAATATGATGTATGTTTTTTTTAAATCTTAACACTTTGCTGTCCTATGAAATAACGTACTATTTTGTCAACGGCTATCAGATTTTAACAAAAAAAAAACACGTAGTAATACGTCAACAGACAGCCAAGTAATAATATTGACAACAAATATAGCAAATTATTTTAAGAGGCCCTCAAAAATACTTAAATCCATAGTCTTAAATATTATAGAAAATTGTCTCATTGTCTTAATGTTGCAATGAGTTCTTAACTTAAAATAGTAATTTAATTATTGACTAATTATATATTATATAAAAATAAAAAATACAGTTTGTCGTGAAAAGGGGACATAGAATCGAGGACATAGAAATTGGGGTTGTTTGGTGGTTGACAAACCATTCTTACGTTTCATCCATTTCAAATATAGATTTTTTTCGTAGTTTTTGCAATAATGACCGTAATATAATTAACTTTAAACAAATTGTCAGCGGGTAAAAAACCAAACTAACAATTGTTGCAAAATTTTACCTGTTTACTAGAAAAACTATTTTGAAAAATGTCAAACTTCTAGCGGCTACTAGATTCACTTTTTCATACTTAATTAAATACATAACTACTGATACATTTAATTTCATTATTTCAATAATAATAAAACCATTTGTTTGTCTTGTATAAAGAAATTACGTAAGCAGACATAATTATATTGTATGCAATTGTTCTTGCAATGTTTTATTTTATGAATATTGCACATGACATAAAACATTGCAGTTGACAAGAACAGAAGGAACAAGAACAATGTAAAAATGCGCATATGCATAAATGCCGCCACAATGTACGTACACAATTAAAAAAAGAAATTATATTTTTTATTATTATTTATTTATTTACTTACTAATAAATAATAACATGTGATATAACTCATAGATTTATTTATATCGCGTTGTACAGAAAGTTCTTGCCAATTTTCGCTAAGTACCATTGGCGAAGCCTAAAAATATCAGAATTGTGAAAAACTATGAACTATACTCTCAAAGTAAGATTTCAACCGTCTTGAGAACTAAGTTTGATTCGGATCAAATAAAAATGAGATATTTAGTACACTTGTGAAGATGAAAGAAATGATACTTTTCTATTAAAGTAATAATTAAGATATATTCTGTTTACGGAGAAGTTGCTTTAGCTAAATGAGCTTTAGAAACATAATTCTCTAAATTTAGAGCTGAAGATTTCAGCAAATTTTGGTCTTTGCAAAAATCCATTAACTGTATTAACGATTCATTTCAAGTCAACATAAAAAAAAACACATGAAGAAGTTTTTTTTGTCGAAAAACCTAATAAATTTTGAGAGGATGTAATGTTTAAATTGCGTGGAAGCTGAAGAAATGTTTATAATTAAAAATTATATATCTATATATAAAAGTTTTGATTTTTAATTTTCGTAAAAATCAGCACGAACTTTCCGGATAACTCAATATAAAATTGTTTGTATGTCCTCTAGCTGTTCCTAACGTTGATATATCGAGCGAACTTCAAGAAATATATAAAGATAAAAACACGTATTTTAATTACTACATTTAATTTGTTTCACTATTTCTCGAATGTACAAAATTTAGATAGTGCAGTTTCAGCGAACTGAAGTTTTAATCAAAGAAATAATATGTGTATATTTATTCAACTGCAAAATATTATCCTCAATATATATTAATAACCGACGTTGCATGTTCTAAAGGCAACATTCCCGTAACGTTTATGAAATTAATCGCTGCATAAGCGGGCGCAACTGAATTTACGATTTTATTCACCACAAAAGTTTCGAACTGTGAAGATGCTTTTACTTTGTAGTGTTTCGAAATTACATGTACCAGATTGAAAGTTTTCGCAACGAAGTTCTCTTTGAAAAGCCAACATTAAAATGCGGTCCGAGCGAAAGCTTTCTAATCAATTATTGCCGCAATGAATTCAGAGAAAAATATAGAGACGGAGGAAAAGGAATTTCATTGTGCAAATGCGTTTAAATCTTTAAAAAGTTTCGATCGCCTCAACAAGTGGAATAAATTAAAGTTTCAGGAGATGCGCGAAGTGCACGACTGGGTGGATGAATCGAATGAGTGAATGAATGAATGAAGGAGTGATTGAACGGCTTCTTGTGTTTGGCGAAAGATGGAGCGAAAGAGGAAAAGCTATTAGGGAATAAGAGAAGATCCGACCGATTTCTTAAGCAGTTGGAAAAGGGTTTAATTACCGATGCTATACTAATCGTTCCGCATAGATTGCCTGCATTGACCGACAAATCCGCATGATAAAACTTTGTCTTTATTCCAATTAACCGGCAGCTCAATTGAGTGCATCACGTAACCCATTACCTAATGTCATTAATCATTGGCAACATCTATTATGGATGATGCTTGGGGCGAGTAGGTGTTTGACAATTTTATAGCAAAGCCGCCTCAAGGAAATAAACGATCATAAATACTCCAGGACCTAGAGTTTAGGTAACCTGTCCAAATTTCCGAAGTTACGATACTCTAATAGTCGTAGTTTGCTAAGATTTACTACATAAGGATTTCCTGTACAAGAGTTTTATGTATTCCCATTTTGTCTTGTTTACAAGAAAGCAATAATAACAATAAATAGAATAATATTTTTGATTGCAACAATATATATTAATTATGTTAGACAATTATATGTATCAATTATAATATTTCATGAATTATCATTAAATTAAACAAACAAAAATGAAAAGTGTTCTTCATATAATTAATGAAATCATATAGATCCCGATCGATTAATATTGAACAATTGCAATTCATTTAAATGGGACTATTAAATGTACATATATTGAATGCATATTCAGTCTGTGGCTTAATTAAAACTGTGCGATTTATTGCGCGTCCACTGAACCGGAATAGATTAATTAATTTTAATATAATAATGACGCATTGAAAATTTCATTATAATTTAATCCAGCGGAAAGACTTACAATGTGCAATTATATGAGCAAATACTGCACACAATATTGTTGGATATTGAAAATTTGATTAATTGTTTTCCGTGCATTCATTTGCTTTACTATTTTGTGATTTTAATCTTTAAATGATGAATACGAACAATGAAACAGAGGAACAAATAATTAACTATTTTTGTGTATATGATATGATTTTTATTTTATATTTTTATATTTGAATTATATAATTGGTGTAGTAAATTATATTTAATCAATTAATTTTAATTATTATATATTTTATTTTGTTATTCAATTTTCTGTCAGTTCTAATAAAATAATCATCCTGTTGTGAACTGATATATTATCTAATTCAGATCCCCCTTTAAAAAATATAAAATTGGCTTCTCTCATTATTTCCATTCAATTTCCAAAATTTTCATATGTGATGACTTCATTTTTTTTGTCTTGTTTTAGTTTTACTTTTGTTTAGACAGCTTTGGCCTTAATCATATTAGATATAAATATACTGAACAATGGATGGTCTATATCCAATTAATAAATAAATCGTTTATTCCAGATAGACAGGAACCAACAATATCATTTTGACTCAAAGACTTTGAGATTTGCAATCATTCTTAAAAAAATATCATTAAATTACCACTTTTACGTCAAATTATAGTAATTTTATAATGGAACTGTTCCATATGTTAGTATCGATTCAGCCGCACGTATTTGGACTTTGATGGCTCTGGATGTATGATGCCGGCTCGAAATTTCTCGATCTTCAATTCGCAGTAATCTTGTTGTTGACGGAAATGCTCGACCAGTTTCTAGAACGATGAATATCAACCGTCTTTTGAAAGGCTCGATGCCAAACTTCAACTGAGTTGTTGGTTCGAGTAAGGTTGTAGATTACATGATATTTGCGCGTTAGCCATCCCAGGATGAAATAGACATCTAACTATCTGTACTCTAAGAAATATGGTTGCATAATCATTTTGACTGGCTATCTCAAACTCTTACAAGCATCATGCCAGACGTAGGCTGCAATTCCTTAAGCTAGCGCAGGACTCTCGTGTAGTCGTCTTTAGACTTGCCTTGAATTAATACGTAGACGTAAGGCGTTGCAGAAGCATCGATCAGCGCGTGGATTGTAAGAAGATTGTTGATGCTATTTTGAATCTTCCATCGATGAACCAATGTTCAAGATTTGACAAAGTGCGAAAAATGGATATTTACTCGTACAGCGAAACAATATTCCCATATAAACTAATGTAATATACGATAATGCATTTCATTTTAGGGTCATTTTTCTTACAATTTATTTTGATCGTTAAGTAAAATAATCTGGCTATAATCAAAGGAACTGTAGCTGAAAATTGCCGGATAATCTGTCGAGGTTTCTCAACGGTCGTTACTGCTCGTCGACGAAATTATGCTACGATTTAGGTTGCTTCATTTTGCTAAGTATCTGAAGCATGATTGTGTTCTGAATATATCTGAACAAAAGTCCTTCATACGTCGATATGCGAAACGTCGTTCGCTGAGCGACTGAGCGCGTTTGTCCCGCGCGCTTTTGTTACTGCGCGCCTTTGTCCACGCGTTCTAAGCGTATTTGTCGGGTCACCAAATATATCTGTATATTAAAGTATTTTTATTCTTTCGACTTTATTCGAGCGAAAATTATTAAAATAATATTTTTTCGGGTTAGCATCTATTCGACTTTGGCAAATTTAACTATGATATAAAATAAACTACTCGTTACGCAGCTATAACTACCCTTTGAGTGGGACATTTCTACCCACAAGTCCTACTTTCTAAAATAATCCTGCATAATAAGGGATTTAAATAAATGTATTTATAATATATTCA